GGCGGCCGCATAGACACCAGCCGGGGGAACGGGTGGCTCTGCCCGGATCACCTCTGCGGGGAGGGACGCCTGTCACAGCACACCCTCCCCCCTGCTAGGCAGCCCCTGAGCTTTCCTGTGTCTCCGGCAGGTCATTCACTGCAGCGGGTACCTGAAGATCCGCCAATACAGTCTGGACATGTCCCCCTTCGACGGCTGCTACCAAAACGTTGGCTTGGTCGCCGTGGGCCACTCGTTGCCTCCCAGCGCCGTCACGGAGATCAAGCTCCACAGCAATATGTTCATGTTTCGGGCCAGCCTAGACATGAAGCTCATATTCTTAGATTCCAGGTAGAGCTGGGGTTATTTTCAAATCTATTCCCCTAGCCCCTCCCTTCTTCTCCCCCAGTTCTCTTCCCCGGTCCTCTCACCCACTGATATTTGCTGCTTGTGTCTCTTGCAGGGTAGCTGAGCTAACAGGTTACGAGCCCCAGGACTTGATAGAGAAGACACTTTACCACCACGTTCATGGCTGTGATACCTTCCACCTGCGATGCGCGCATCACTTGTGTAAGGAGATTACGTTCTTGTAGAGTCCCTGCCCCTCGCCCCACATCTTCTCCCTCTGCAGGTGGACTTTAGGTTTGCTAGGATTTACCTCTAGGTAGGAAAGGGAAAAGCGAGCTCCCTGGAGGGGAGAATAAGCAAAATCTGCGCCAGGCTCTAATGAAACAAGTCGTCAGAGACTGAACTCCGAGCTGGAGGCAGGAGGGAGATGGAGGGGATCGGCAATGAAAGGCTGTTTTTCCCTCCTCAGCTGCCGGCTGTGGGATAAGAACTCTCCTGCACAAACCTCAGGCTCTCAGTTCACTTCAATTTCTGGTTGGGAAAAAATCCTTTTTTCTTGCTCCAAAAAGCCATGCCAGTGAAATCCAAATACTTTTGTTCCGTTTCCACCAAGTCTCACAAATCTTATCTGTGTATCTAATTTTGACTGCAGTAGTGAGCCCGATTCAGAGAGCTGTTCTTTATTCTGTTTTGATATCATGATGACATTAATACATGGATAGATGAATAAAAAGGATATTAATTTCCGGTAAGTTTCCTTACAGAGAATGTAACCAGAAGAGATAAAACCCAAAGCCAGATTTACAGAATCAAATCTCGATGACGATATGTCGGGATGAGGGTGGGGTGGGGGGATCCAAGCCCCCGCTGTATTTACCTTGCCCCATCAACCTCCTCGAACAGCCTTTGATAACGAGCGGCCCGACGCTCGGGGACCGAGATCAGCGCTGCCCGGGGGTTTCCCCCACCCTTGCCCACGGGGGTTTCGGTCCACGCTGGTTCCCGATGTGTTGCTAAGGGGTTCCCAGTCCCTCTCCTTGCCCATGAGGGTCCGGGGGGGTGTGCGCCCCCTTCCCACGGCCCATCAAAAGGGAGGCGGGCACCGCGCTGAGGCTCTCCCCGCTTTGTCCCCGCAGTGCTGGTGAAAGGGCAAGTGACCACCAAGTATTACCGCTTCCTGGCCAAGCACGGCGGCTGGGTCTG